TAAGAACTTGTCTAAGATACCTAATACCACTGATATTGGGGGTCTCTTATATATAATTTTTATGATTCCTATTAGCGAGTAGAATTTTTTTATAGGGGACTTGTCTTGTTTTTTCTTTGTGATCACCTGTTCTTTTTAGTAACATATCTTTATCTCTTAAGGGAACCTGTTTTGTGTTTCTTTAATGTTGAAATGCTGTATTACCCAACTTTGTCACTCAGATAGGGGATTAGTCTTGATCAAGGATGTTATATCACTTAGTCTTGCCTTATTTGAAACCTGTTTTGATCTTAAGCTTGCATATCGGGCTGATTTTCTGTCTTATTATGGGCATAATAAGTGATCAATTCCTTATTATAACCATGCTGGGATATCAAATATCTCTATAAGATAGATAAGATCTTTGCGCTACTAATAATTACTTTTTTTATTTGACCCTTGTATGGTATTGAACTCTGAAAAATAAATAATTTTTTAATTAGTTTAAAATAAAAATAATATTTTAATTAGACAAACATTTTTTTAAAAAAGAATTTAAATAGTTTATTTTATTTTTTTTTTCTTAATATATTTAATTTAACAATTTTTAATTTTTAGAATAATCAATAGTAATAAATTGTTATAATAGTTCTAGTAAATAGATATTAAAGTGTCAAACTAATAAAAGAATATAATATTATTTTTAAAATACTGTATAATATGAAATATCTAGTTGAGATTTTATTTGATTCAAACTAGTTTAATAAACTTTTATATTTTTTTAATTATGCAATTCTTTAATATATAAGAATAAGTTAATTGTTATATAAAAATCAATAAACATTGAATATATTCTACTGATATTATGTTATAATAATATTGATTTCTGATTAAAAAAAAATATTTTTTTTTTTCAATTGGTTAGACAAAGTTATAAAGTTGATATTATAATTTTATGAAAATAATATTTTGAAATCGACTCTATAATAAAGCACTATTTTGTGTGACTATAAAACCGGAGTTTGAGTTCTCATGCTCCAGTGATCACGGGGGTGATTTTAAAAAATACGAGGTGTAACAGGAATTTTTGGGGTTCGGGAATATGTTTTCGAGAATGTGACACGATGCGTCACTACATCAGCGCCAGGTGACATGGGCGTGACACATTAGATTTTCAACAATTTCAGATGCCGATCTCTGCAATCACTGATTAAACGTGTGATTGATTAATTAGTGATTACATAATTAATTAGTGATTAATTAATAATTACATAATTAATTAGGGATTAATTAGTAATTAATTAGTGATTACATAATTAAGTAGAGATTAATTAGTGATTAAATAATTAATTAGTGATTAATTAGTGATTAAATAATTAATTAGTGATTAATTAGTGATTAAATAATTAATTAGTGATTACATAATTAATTAGTGATTATATAATTAATTAGTGATTAATTAGTGATTACATAATTAATTAATGATTAATTGGTGATTACATAATTAATTAGTGATTAATTAGTGATCTAGATCAGTAATTAATGGTTAATTAGTGATCTAGATTGATGATTAGTGATTAATTAGAGATCAGGATCGGTGATTAGTGATTAATTAGAAATTGGAATCAGTGATTAGTGATCAATTCGAGATCGGGATTGATGATTAATGATTAATTTGAGATCGGGATCAGAGATTAGAGATCAATTCGAGATTGGGATTGAGGATTAGTGATCAATTCGAGATTGGGATTGAGGATTAGTGATTAATTCAAGATCGAGATCAAGGATTAGTGATCAATTCGAGATTGGAATTGAGAATTAGTGATCAATTCGAGATTGAAATCAAGAATTAGTGATCAATTCAAGATCGGGATCAAGGATTAGTGATCAATTCGGGAACAAGATCAAGATTAGTGATCAATTCGAGATTGGAATCAAGAATTAGTGATCAATTCGAGATCGGGATCAAGGATTAGTGATCAATTCGGGAACAAGATCAAGATTAGTGATCAATTCGAGATCAGAATCAAGGATTAGTGATTAATTTGAGATCGGGATTGATGATTAGTAATCAATTCGAGATCGGGATCAATGATTAGTAATCAATTCAAGATCGAGATCGGTAATTAGTGATCAATTTGAGATCAGAATCAGTAATTAGTAATCAATTTGAGATCGGAATCAGTAATTAGTGATTAATTCGAGATCAGAATCGAGAATTAGTAATCCATTCGAGATTGAAATCAAGGATTAGTAATCAATTCGAAATCGGGATCAAGGATTGTGATCAATTCAAAATCAGATTGAGGATTAATAAACAATTTGAGATCAGGATCGAGGAATAGTGTATAATTCGAAATTGAGATTGAGGATTAGTGAACAATTTGAGATCGGGATCGAGGATTAGTGAACAATTCGAGATCAGTATCGAGGATTAGTGAACAATTCGAGATAGGGATAGAAGATTGGTGATTAATTTGTGATCGGGATCAAGAATTAGTGATTAATTCGAGATCGGGATCAAGGATTAGTGAACAATTTGAGATCGGGATCGAATATTAGTGAACAATTCGTGATCAAGATTGAGGATTAGTGATTAATTTGAGATCGAGATCAAGGATTAGTGATTAATTTGAGATTAAGATTGAGGATTAGTGAACAATTTGAGATCGGGATTGAGAATTAGTGATCAATTTGAGATTGGGATTGAGGATTAGTGATTAATTTGAGATTGGGATCGAGGATTAGTGATCAATTTGAGATTGAAATCAGGGATTAGCGATTAAATTGAGATCAGGATCAGTAATTAGTGATCAATTCAAGATTGGGATCAAGAATTAATGATCAATTTGAGATTGAGATCGAGGATTAGTGATAAATTCGTGATGAGATCGAGGATTAGTGATCAATTCGAGATCAGGATCAAGGATTAGTGATCAATTCAAAATCGGGATCAAGGATTAGTGAACAATTCGAGATTGGAATTGAGAATTAGAAAACAATTTGAGATCAGAATCGAGGATTAGTGATCAAATCGAGATCGGAATTGAGGATTAGTAATCAATTCGAGATCAGAATCGAGAATTAGTGATTAATTCGAGATCGGAATCGAGAATTAGTGATTAATTTGAGATCGGGATCGAGGATTAGTGATCAATTCAAAATTGGAATCAAGGATTAGTGATCAATTAAAAATTGGAATCAATGATTAATGATCAATTGGAAATCAGAATTGATGAATAATGATTAATTAAATATTATAATTGATAATCAGTGATTAAATAATAATTTCAATTAATAAAAAATTGTTATTTTAAAAAAAAACCACTATTTTTTATAAAAAAAATAAAACTCAAATAACTAAACTTAGAGTATAGCCCAACCCAAGCCTTTACATTATTTAAAATTAAACTATATAAAAAATAAAATTTTTTTAAATAAAAAACTAAATAAAAAACTATTTTTTATAATTTTTTTAAAAAAGTAAAACTCAAATAACTAAACTTGGAGCATAGCTCAAGCCTTTACACTTTTAAAACTAAACTATATAAAAATAAAAAAATTAAATTCATTTTTAATATTTAAAAAAAAAGTAAAACTTAAATAACTAAACTTGGAGCATAGCCCAAGCCTTTACACTATTTAAAAAATGAATTTTTTAAATAAAATCTATTTTTAATAAAAAAATAAAATTTTTAAAAAAAGTAAAACTCAAATAACTAAACTTGGAGCACAGCCCAAGCCTTTACGCTTGTTTTATAATATTACATGTTAAAGATTTAATTATTTATGCTTTTAGATTTTAATTGGATTTATTATAGCAGAAATTATAATAAAATTCATTAAAAGCTCTCATTACTTTAATAATCCAATTATTTTATCGTATTATTTACAACATTCTCTCTCTCTATATATATATTTTTGCCATTTTCTAAAAAAATTTTATGCAGTTATTCTATTTTTCATTTTAATCCAAAAATAATTTACAATAGCTACAAAATTTTTTGTCTTATTATTGAAGACCAACTTTGTAATTCCGTTATAGATCGATTTTTCACGTGCTCATGTCGCCGCAACCAAGTAGATGTTATGTTAGTCTAGAAAGCAAAGCAAAATATCGCGCGGAGCACTAAACGTTGGTGCAAGGTTCGCCGTTTTGCCTGCAAGATTATGTTAGGTTAACTACAATCATTAATTATAAAATTTTTCGTTCTTAATAGTCTGTACATTTACAAATATTGGCATTTAAATAATTCCTGGTTTGCACAATGTATAATAAAGCTAAGCGCATTTGGAATTTAACTAAATGATAATCTTAACGTTACCATTCATTCCTTTTGTGTCGATTTATTGTAGCTATAGCTAATAATTCTTTCTTTTTTTTTTCTTTTGACAGCAACGTTCTTATATCTTTATCGTGCTTTTGTTCTTTTGGTCTTTGTGCAGATTGATAAGAATGTGTTGTAGATCTCCTATGTGCAACATCATCTAAATTAAATTACGTAAAAAAGGGAAGACGGTGTAGCATTTATGCGTTTCACTCTTGGAATACTTCAAATACTTTAATATATTTCGTCCGATTTTCACTAATTAATCATTAGTTTTGCCCAGGAATACACGGGAACTACATACAAGTAAAGATAAAATTTCACGTTTTTCTTGGTCGAAGATTCTATGCGTATAGATGCCAAGTGGACAGCAACGATCACGGAGCCATCTAATTGAGGAACGAACAATTAAATAGAGATGGCAGTTCGACAGTTTGGCGTTATCTACTATTATTATTCGTGTAGTTATTTTATATAGAGCATTATAATAAAGGGTATAGTCAAAGATTGCCAAATATCCTCATGCTTTAAACAATTGTATCATGTCGTCAATGGAACCTTCACTCTACTGCATAATGTTGATGATTCTCAAACTCAGCCAAATTTTTTTTTTCAAGGATAATACTCGAGTCCATAATTAAGGAATTAAGAAAGTCAAAAGTCGAAAGGTCCACAGTATATTATCCATTCATTATGGAAAGCCAACCTTATGATTTTCAGTTGTATGTAAACAACCAACACAAATAAATTACTGTAGTACGTACTTTTTCCAAACATGGTGTTGAAAAAAATTATACACTTATGTCATACGTACATTATCAATGCCACCACTTAACTACTGTGGAACGCATGCGGGATTGCAAGAATTAATATCACAATATATAAATCGACTCTGTTGGTGCATTAATATTGAATTTCTATTTTTATTTCTTTTCCTCCACCTTTCCTTTGCTCGCTCCTTAACCCTTGCCACACATACACGCCAATCGAACCCGCATTGCCGCACTAACCATTCGCAAATCATTATCATCCGCCAGCTTACCTTCAACTACCATTTAACATCCGTATACACTTAAAGTATCTTTAAGCACAATAAAGAAATGTCTTGGCCATTTAAAACACTTAAAATTCTTTATCCCCTCCAATTATTCTTCTCTCTCCTCGTAATCACCTTTCTTGGCGGTTGGGTTTCGATCACAAAATCCTACATCTACGACCATGAATCTTCTCTTAACGAACCAATGTCACTGAGTCTGCCCGGCGAAGTATACGTGAGCTTCGTTCTTGCTTCCATTTCCCTTATAGTTTCTGGGATATTGTGTACACCCAAAATTACACGCAAGTTTGGCTACACTTTGTACGCATTCTTCGTGGACATCCTAATATCATCTTTGTGGCTATCAAATGCTATCTATATGACAGTGAAGGCAAATAATGGACCGGGGAATATAACGACAGCGATTGTAGGCTCACCAGTGTATTCTTCACCAATTGATCAACAACAACAAACGACTGCTCTCAATTTAGGACGCGCTATACTTTCGTTTGGGTGGATAAGTTTTGTTTTGTGGGCTATCACTGCCATTCTATTGTCTCATGTTCGTTCGCGTCGTTGGCTAGACAGGAATGACGAAAACAGACGAATCACCATCTGCAGTAGTTATCACAATGATTTAAATAACTTCGAGCAAGACGCGAAAATGTTAACGACTCCAAAAATCGTTAAGAAGATTGATGACATGCTTAGAAATCCTCAATTAGTCAAACAATCAAAGCGATCATCTGTTGGATCCGATGCTCGACCTATTACAGAATTGGATTCTCCGAACATAAAAATCACCACCACCACTTATACACTCACTAACGTTCCTTCGGATGCTCTTGCACCGGCTCCTCAAGTTAATGTAACACACGATTATTAAAGTATAATAATTGGGTAAAATAATTGGGGAGACGAAATGACTGTTGTATAATTTGTGAATTATCTAAGGCGGTAGATTTTATTGGATATAACTGTATAGGAAAATTTGTGTTAGAGTGGAATTGTGTGTGCAAATTTACTTCATAAATTCGTATATATATATATATTTATTTATTTATTTACTCTGGTGAGAAAGTAAAAATTTTGGATGTATCATTCCTTATATACATTCAAAAGGTGTTCATACTTGAAACTCCAGCTTTCTTTACGTCGGATCTTTGTTTCATCTGGCTATTGCTGAACATAGAATGTTCACATTATCCATTGACAATAAATTTCTCTTTAGACTAAGCATTTTAATTATCACGGCAATAGTAAACCCGAGAATTAGTCGACTTGGTCTGGTTTTCATTTATACCATAGTCCCAAATCGAGAATCAAGCAACTTGTTAATGTTTTACTTTAATGACAAATATTTTCTTAATAAAAGACATCTTGAATAATGTTCCTGTAAAATAAATGTGAGTGGTTTTTAAATACTGTACACTTACATAACTCGATTTTAACAAATTTGAAAGAGCCTTATTTTCCACGCAATTTGGTTCTTAAAGTGAATTGGCTTTAAAGGATGCCTTAGTCGTGTTCTGAAATAATGTTCATTACTTCTTTTTGTTTTCTCTTTTTTTTTTCTTCACAAATGTTGTTTAGCAAATCTGTATAATTAGAATTTCATAAAATGGTATTAATTTTATAAAGTATTGATTGAGTAAGGATTTTGACAGGACATTTTTGTAAAACTTCTTTTAATCTGCTTCCATTCACATGATACAATTCTTCATTCTAGAATCATTTTTTAGATATTTTTTGGCTTCTTGATTTCTTTAGAATATTTGAAACCAGATTTTATTTATATGATTTTGTTTAATCTTCTTCTTTTGATATTGTTTACTTAAAAAAATCAATTATATAAAAAACACTTATCTATATTAATATTAGAATTTTTGGGGGGTTTTTTTTATAATACTTGAGATTTCTGTTCTTTTTTTAAATATTTCTAAATAATATTTTTTACTTTTTTAATTTAATTTTTTAAATTATTATTAATAATAAAGTTATAATCCTTACTGTTTTAAATTTTAAATTTATTTTAAATTAATCTATTTTATTTATAATGAAGTCTATTATACTGTATATTATTAGTTTTTCTTGAATTCCCATTTTTTTTAAAACTTTTTTAATTTATTTTTGATTTTTCTATTTTTTATTTATTCTAAATGGAATTAAAAAATTTAATAATATTCAAAAATCTTTTTTTAAAATCTTTTATAATAAATTTTTTATAATATATTAAAATATTAAATTTTTAATTAAATCATTAATATTTTATTATTAAATTTTAAAAAAAAATTTTTAAACTATTTGTTTTTTTATATTTTTTAATCTTTTTTAAAAAAACTTTAAATGCATAATATATTATTCTTTTATATTTAAAATAAACAAATAATATTTTTTAATCAAATTTTTTATTTTATTATTGATTTTATCAATCTTAAACTTAATATACTGTATATTATTTTTATTTTAAATTTTTTAAAATAAACTTAAATTATTTAATAAATAAAAAAAAACTCTTTTCGCTGATCCACTATTTTTTAAAAAAATTTTTTTTTTAGTAATTATTTAGAGAAAAAGGATAACATAATTCAAGCTCAGCAAACACAGTAAAAAAAACACAACCATATCATCCCACTTGGAGCAACACATAAAACTCTAGAAACAAGTCACCAAGAGAAGAGTTTACCATAACAACATTAGTATTTTATCTATCAACTTTTGAGGAAAAAGGAAAATAAAAGTAAATCCAAATCACAATAAGGCCAACAGACCCAACATCAACTTCCCTAGCTTCCAACCAGGCCAGTGCAGATTTACACCTTTCTAGACATTAGAAGGAACCTGACAATATAGTAATCTCAACTGGTAAACCAGTCAAAACTCAAAATTTGCAAGACCCAAGAGAACATTAGGAATCCAAGAGTAATAGCTAAAGATTATCAGTAACAACGCATCAGCAACACATAAACAACTAGCACGTAATACAAACATGAACACATCCCCTTAGACAATAGAAATATAACAACAAATTACGTGACATGTCTCTAAATAGATAAACAAGCTTAACACGTATTCTAGCTAATCACAAAACACATTCCTTATACCTAATTTTATCCCTAAATAGAACTAGCACACATGTTACTGAAATCAACAAATCAACATATAAACAATCTGCAACTCGTGTTTACTCCACAACTAATCTACTAACACAACAGATAGATTAGAAAACCCCAATAATACTATCTGAATAAGTAAACCAATAAACAGAGTTAATCCGCATTACGTGACTCATTTAATAAGCACGTGATACAGTCAATATGAATAGGGCACAATGTATTCTTCAGATAGTAAATAAAAGTGAGAAAAATATTTTGAATACCTTAGTTAAGCTTTCAAGAAAGCATGATGAAACCTCAAAACTATGGGCATCCCAATAGTTGGTAAGGCAAAAAGAAGGATATTCAATAGAAGAAACAATACCCATACCAGAGACTTTTACTATCCTAGATAGTATTATTGCTAACATCCTAGGAATAGACAAAACAACATTCCATAAGGAACGAATCCTTACTCAATATATCCTATACCTCTGGCAACAAAAAAAGGGAAAAGAAGAAGATCTTATACAGCTCTACATAGAAGATAAATTCATTGAAATTATCAAGAATGCAAGTGATCCATAGGAGCTGAAAAGTTAACCAATAGAGATCACAGAACACATAGATACTGAGTCAATGATAGATAATGAAATCACAATGACCAGTGATTATGAACAAGAAAAGACCAAAATACAAAGGCTTCAAGAGAAAATAAAAGGTAACAATATCAGTGATTATAACTCATATGACACAAGAAACAGGGACTTCACTTTATTGACAAACCCATATTTTATAGAAAGAGAAGGAATATATAGACTCAGTGCCATGACAGCTAATATTTCAGGGGAAACAGAAGAAGAAGTCAAGGTCTATCTAAGCAATATCTTAAAATTACCACAGAGAGAAAGATACCTCTTAAAGAAAGAATTTATTAATTTAAATGAATGGTTGACCTTTTGAATACAAGAAGAAGAGGATGTCCTAAAATATATAGAAGAGATAAACTGCAAAGAGGATAATTTTACTATCCAACAAATAACTCCTCATACTTTACGTTCTATCCATATAACCAAAAGAGAAAAAAACAGAAAAGTCTTCCAGGAATTCAAAGGGAAAATAGATCAGATATATAGCATGTCAGCCTAATAGATCTAGATTATAAGGTTTCTAGAAGTTATATAGCTGAATATCTTAAGAAATATGGAACAGTTTAAAACATCCATATCTATAAGCCCAAGATGAAGACTAGGGCCAAGGCCTA